AGTTTGAAACAGTGAATGTTGCCCATGCTAATGTTTGTTTCTTTGCAGCATAGTTGAAGCATTCATCCTAAACCGAAGTCACGCTAGCAACTTATGGGGCGACACACAACGAACCCGATACGCTATCGCGTTCTACTCTTGAAGGCAAAGCTCAAGCATCATCCAAGTTTTCTTCAAATAGAAATTGCCATACATGCACTGATATAAATAAGTTTAATACACAGAAAAACTCCCCGTAACGAATAATACATAGGCATTTAATGAGTGCTGATTCAATATTGTAGTGTGAGTATATGAAATAATGTCAAGAATACAAGTCCCTTCTTCACCCTTAGCAAAGTTTACATGTTGACTTTGGATATGATAGACAAGGTTTGTTTTGTCGTTAGCAAGTCGATGATAATGTTGAATAACCACCTCATAAAGCGCTTTAGGGCTCTCCCATATTGTACACAAATAAGAACAATGTCGATCGAGGTAGTAGGGCGAGGATGGTGGGCTCAGTGGGTGCAACAAGAATTTCATTGGATGTACAGTCTGTTTGACACTTATGGGGGGAGACAGTTTTGGAAGGCTGAAAAATGTTCGAAAAATGGATTTTTTGAAGTATCTTTTTAATAATATATAGCGTCGGAAGAAGGCGTTCCTAAAATGCTATTGCCATGTAATGCGTATTTGTCGAGTAATTCAGTCTCGAAATGAGTTTCGTGACCATTCCCACACCTGAAATCACTCCAAAGACGGTCATATTCGACGCCGGGCACCTGAGAACTACGCCAAGTAGCGTAGCCATTTTGGTCTCATTTGAAAGGCGTATTATCCTTTTGTCTGTTCTAAATGGAACAAAGCTTTTCGCTCGGCAACAGGGCAGCTATCACGAATAAAGAAAAACCAAATACTCGCACATCATTGGTGCATTTTCATCATTTGGGGCAGTTACCGGTTTTCTATTAGATGTTAAGGAATTTGTCTCCTAGACAGTGGTGCGCCATCCACCATTTTGTGACAAGGCCTAAGCGATGGCTGTGCGATCGGTGCGATGGCAGGTGGTCATCGAAACTTCCATACTGCTCATGCGTTCGGAAAGAAGCAAGAACGGCATCTGAAAGCATGCAGCGTCTTATCAGCGAAACGCTCTGCTGCCGAGTACACGGAAAAAGCTGGCTGTGCCAACGCTATCACGAACACGGCCCCCGCGATCACGGACAAGATAGCCAGAGGCGGCGATCACACTTGAGATCTGCAGGTCGGCACTCCCTTGGTTTCCAACGCTGAACAAGTGGCACTTGAGTGTCGTGCGAGTGATATTCAGAGAGACCTTTCGTCGACATTAGCCTAACGACGTGAGCGATCTGTTTTTTAAGACTCGGAAGCAACCGCGACTACTGAAACGCCGTTCACCGTTGTAAGCTTTGCGATAATGAATGAACTGTTTCAGTGTATGAAGTGCGGTGTATGCGGCGGGCCCGGCAGCATTTTGAAGAAAGATCGGAAATATGGCATTGCCACAAAACTTTTGCTGACGTGTGATGAGTGAGGGGAACTGAAAACTGTACAGAGCTCCCCGAGAGCAAGGGGGGATGCAGCGCGCGGCCCATTCGAGATTGACGTGCTCGCGGTTCAGGCGGAACAGCAAACGCACAAACTGTCAGTCCTCTTCCCTGCCATCCGTGCGTGCACCTGAATGTCAAAAGACAGATTTGTTGATAGGAGCGGCGGCATGCACGAGATACTAAAGGGACGATTGAGCCATGGAGTAGCTTAAGCACAGGCGATGAGAAAAACACCCGGGAACTGGGTCGAAGCTTTGCATTCTGTGACCGCGTGAACTTAAAACATATATAATCGTTTGAAACATACATCGTACCCAGAGAGGGGACACATTTCCGAGGAATAAAATTCCCAAGTATAGTTTTGCTATTGTTACGCTAGGGTGCAAGATCATTCATGTGCAGTCGTTACTGCACGGGATTAGGTGGTTAGCACAACAACTTTCTGGCCTCCAGCCTTGTGATTGGTCCCTCTGTCGTATGCTGCGATTAACGATCATTCCCACCTTTCAAAGACACCATATAATCACACGCAGGTGCGTCGAATATGGCCACAAGCCACAAGAACCGCCAGAACACACACACACACACATTATACCAAAGCTTCTCATAAGTTGGCGGACCGGAAAAGTCGCAGAGGTAAAAAGACTAGTCCCAGTGCACTCTTTCCTGGCGGCAGCCTTACAAGGGTGTTTGATCATTCTCGAATGTCAAGTGAAAAATATCCAAGGTGGGTCAACACTCCTGAACAGCACTTGATTGCTGTCAGACTGGATCATACTGATAGGAAAAGTAATCACATGTTCTCCCCACACGTGGTCGATCTCAGCATCGCGCAGTTCCCTGTGCTCATGGAGGGCACCTTAAGAACTCAGCATACTTAAGTGACATGTGAGTGGCTAATTGTGGCGCCTCACGTCGTTGCCAATCTACCCTGTTCTACACTATGGCGCTGCATACTGTGCACCTGTTCAACGCCAAGAAACGTTTACAAAAGAAACTGCCGTTCCCTCTGCTGTTCCTACATAAACGTAACGCATTACCGTTGCAGTTCCACCAATCTCAATGAAACTGTGGCGTTCCTCGAAAAATGAACTAGCCTTAGGAACGTCTTTCTTGGAACACCGTTCCGTACAACACTGGCACAGCCCAAGAAGGGAGCATCTGCTTACTGATCATCCTCGAAAGGATGCTCCTGAATTTCGCGTGGCGGCGCGGGAGTCTATGGCCATTGGGAATAGCCACAAGTCAGTCCGAGACGCCTGTCTGCAACACTCAGGTCGAACACAGCGCTATCGCACTGTTGTGACTGAGCTGCCACTAGCAGCGGCCAGCCTGTCTAGCTTGCAGCATTTTGTGTGCACAGACTACACACAGACTGATTGCGGACTAGTCACAAAATAGCATGATTTCAACAGTCATGACCTTGCAACGCGAAAACGGCAGACAAGGCTCTCTCGGTTCGGTCAATGATGAAGTGTGCTAGACTAACACTGTGCACGCGACCAATCAAAAGCCTCGAGACAACCTTCAGACATTTGCTTTTTGTGCGCTTGGTATTGAAGGACATAGCCAGCCGAGGCGAAGAATTTGAGCATAAAAAAATTATCTATCCAACAAGCCCAAAGCGACGGCACCCGGTCACACCGTTGAGAAGCTAACATTTATTTTTTAAATCGGTGTTTTTTCTCGATTTCCGAGATAATTCTCGGCACCTCCGCAGGCACAGCTAAGCACTTCTACGCAGTTTTCAGTGAAGATATTTTGGAATCGTATCAGGGGCGGCGCCAGGAGTATTTTAGCGAGGGGCCCCCGCCACGGTGGTCTAGTGGCTAAGGTACTCGGCTACTGACCCGCAGGTCGCAGGTTCGAATTCCGGCTGCGGCGGCTGCATTTCCCCGATGGAGGCGGAAATGTTGTAGGCCCGTGTGCTCAGATTTGGGTGCACGTTAAAGAACCCCAGGTGGTCGAAATTTCCGGAGCCCTCCGCTACGGCATCTCTCATAATCATATGGTGGTTTTGGGACGTTAAACCCCACATATCAATCAATCAATATTTTAGCAAGGGGGCGCCAGGAGTATTTTAGCAAGGGGGCACCCGTGATAAGAGAATTGCTTGAAGGGGCGAGAAGCTTAGCGATTGTGTTATGACTATGTTCACTCCTGGGGGGCAATGAGGGGAGAATTTCGGGAGGGCTCCAGTCCTCTTCCTCGCGCCAATCCCTGGCCGTGCGCCTGAATTGAATGGAAGAAAGGCTGCTGAAACTGAAATAGTTTTTCTCAAAAAATCAGTTTTCTTGCCAGTTACCATGCACTGTGATAACTTTTTGCGCACTAAAGGTATACTGTGCAATTTGTACTGCAAAAGGTTTTACAACTTTTTGAGAAGTGCGGAAATTATTAATTCTGGCTTGTGCGCGCAATTGTAGACATGTCTTCGTGGGTGAGCATCGGGAAAGAAAATGCGAAGTGACACTGACCAACACGGAATTATGACTTATCGCTGACAACCTTATTGCATACGTACCTTCATCTAACTGTTTGGACATGTGCGTGGTGTACTATCCTAAGTGCGCTAGGCTGCTGAAAAACTACACGCACTGGGGCACACCATCATAGCCGCCTCATTGTGGGGGCCGTGTTAATGCGCACACAAAAACGAAAGCAGCTCATATAAACTTTTAGCACGCTACAGGGAAATGAATGCACTGAACGCAAAGCAAACAACATGGGACAGCACAAGCACTCACTAACAACTATTTATGTTTACAGAAGCATAACAAAGTATATATACAAGAGGAAAGAGGGCTGTAAAAGAGACAAAAAAAAAAAGAACATTCCCGCATGTGCAAAAAATACATTGAGAGACGCTATCCTCAATCGTGCCCACACTTCTTGAAGTCTAGTGACAGACATTTAGTGACACACATGTACTTATTTACTGCCTGATTTACAAGCTACAGGCAACATAAGCAGACATCAGTCAAACAATCATGCAATGCCACATTTGGTTGCCATCATTTGGCCTTGAAGTCACGAGCCTTTATGAAGAGCACATTTTGCCATCGGTTCGAATCGCACACGATAAGCAGCATCGATATCGTACATGACTTCTTGGCATGCTTTGTGGCTACTGGTATGCATGCACGAGTGCTGTTACATCTTTTGAATAAGCCTATGTCTGTTGATGTGTCTTGTGACCCTTAAATTAAGTAGAATGTGTTTTGACAAGCCTACAGTGCGATAGATGCTGTCAAACACGAGACTGCTTGGCACAGTTTACCTTGATTTTCTCAGGATGATACAGTTAATCCCATTCGGTGAAGAAGTGTAACCGCTCTTAAAACAACATTGAATGTGACACAGACAGAAAAAAAAAATCATTCATTTTATAGTATGGTAACCATGCACAAAAATGTAAACATCAATTTATCAAATGGGTGCACTCACCTGGCAGCTTTTAGGAAATACTCCAGTGCTCGGGCATAGTCCCCCTGTCCCTCCAGGGCATGGCCCACATTGTTGTACAACTTGGCATTCTGGCTGTTCACCTTGAGCCCCGCCATAAAGATGCTGTACTCGGACTCCCTGCAGCAGCATTGACGTGCTCTTTAGCCTTTCCACAGACTTTTTATGGAAGGTGTGGTCAATTAAAAGTAAACAAAAATCAAATTTGGCTTTTTTTCAGCTAAAACAACTGTAAATGCCCAAAGATTGTTCGACAGCTGAACAATGCCACAGTTCAGAATGCTGGTGACTAGTTCATTGATGCGTGATACGTATATGCCTACAGTCATTGCCTACTGTCGACAATACACACAGTGGATATGCGGTCTGCCATAAGCTTTAAGACTACCTACAAACAATATCTGCAATACCTCTCTTACCTTCTATTAGGTTTCATTACGGATGGTTAGAATAAGCAATACCACTGTCACACGACAGATATAATGTCATTTACAGTGAATGTCAATCGTTTATAATGTCGTTTGTTTGCTGTCACAGGGAAAAACTAATGTCATTTGATGAGCATGATATTTCTGGTCGAATAAGTTCCCGAAACACATTTGAAATCGATTTCAGGCCAAATGAGTAGTCCCGACGCCATGAACATTTAGGGAGATGAACTTATGCATACATAACGAGCTTTTACACATCTCCATACTTTGCACACAATGAACGCCGCTTCAATGAAACTTCTGGGTACTGTAGAATCATGGGGATACGAATTTGAAGGGAGCATGTAAGATATTTGTATCATCCTAAATTGGTTGTCACAGACGAGTGCTGAACAAAGTGCAGGCCCCTGAATTCTAGCAGCGGCGACAATACTGGGTGCTGTTCGGCTGTGACAGAGGCCGCCGCAACGAAGAAACAAACATTAAACGGCACCACACGCGCGCCTTCTCCCCCCCCCCTCGAAGGCGCCGCCATTATGCCCGCCAACCTCCTCGTATCTGTCGCCGAGCGATTTCTGGAAAAATCTTAAAGGAAAGGGGTGTGGTGATGCATAACTGCGTCACGTTATGAGAAATGTCCCGCCCTTTCCACAGCTTTGACTGTGCGGTGTACCAACGAAACGAATAGAAACTTCTAGAACCCTGCGCGAGTGTATATAAGCCAGGAGCGGAAGAAGCTGCAGCAGGAGATGAAGAGAGTTTTGCGCCAGCATGTGAAGAGCAGGAATGAAGAAGTTTTTCACTCTGCGGGTGAAGGCTTGTGTTAGAAGCAGGAGAAACGTGTGTGCTTACCGCCCGTGGGCGAGGACGTGTTTTGCAGTGGAAGCGCGTGAGTGGCTGACGTGATACTGGCAAAGAAGTTTTATTATTGAAGTGTGGACATTTACACGGCGAGGTTTCCTAGAAGAGAAACTTCAGGAGCAGTGGAGCGACCACCGGCGCTGGACTTTGAGTGAGTGTTTCTTTGAAGAGAAGCATTGAAGCTTTGTTCCAAGAGCTTTGGACTGAATGCGTTTGATGAACATTTTGGTCTATAAGCGTCTTGGTTAGTTAATGCAAGAAATGGCATTGTAGTGCGTGTTGTTTATGCCCGTTATTTTGAGTATCTGGTGATTGGCGACACATTGTATTGGATCACTGCAGCGTGTGCATGTCTGTTTCTTGTTTGTTCTGCTGTACTTAAGAAGATATTTTCGTTTCGCTATCAACTCTCCGCTCTGCCTCATTCTTTGGACCACAACTAGCGTTTGCTGGTGCACTAAAAGGAACTAATTCTAAATTGCCCGTGCTTTCGTGGTGCGTTTTGAAGGACCGACATGTCAACCCTTGAAATCATACCAGCAATTGCCTCTCTAATTAACAGGACCAGTGACAATTATTGTGGCATCCATGACAGGACCTTTTTGGTGCGCAGTGTGTCCAAAGTAAGGAGAAAGAGCCTCAAGTTGTTGATAGTGCTATCGGAACGATTTCCGCAAGTTGCACGACTTTCTCACTAACGAGTGCACAGAGAGTTTCAATAGACAGAGTTATACAGAAATTTCGTGCACGAGGCTAGAATTTCATTTGAGAGCCACCATGAATCTGGAGAATCTGGTTGCGCTTTGTGAGAAGATGGGTCTTTCTGGCGCTAAACTACGGAGGGGGTTAGCCAAAAAAAAAAAAGAACGAAAAAGGGCGTAAGTAGAAAGAGAGGTAAAAAAGCAACAGTTACAAAAAGAAAGAGAGACGAAGAAGCGACAGTTAAAAAAAGAAAGCGAAGCCTAAGAGAGGCACATGCAAGCGAAGATGGCTGAGACGAGGCAGTAGCAGCACAAGATAAAACTCTAACAGCTCCATTTGCAGCAGTGAAGTTACACTCCCATCCAGGCTAGAATTTGGAGCAGCAAAAGAGAAGATAATAGCTTCCATTTAAGGGGAGATGCGGGTCAAAAAACAGAGATTTTTTTTGAAAAAGTCGAATTTGTGTTTTCTTGCGTTTTGTATTTCTCCAAGCCTTCTCCTTAATATATTAAAAAATCAAAGCTGAGATTCAGCTAGAAGTTATCGAAAAATACAATTAAAGCACTCGCGGTGGCTCGTGAAAGTGCGCAGTTACCCGATTTTCACGCACGCGGCACTTCGCTCTACGGCATCGCCGGCTCTTGAAATTTCGCGGGCATGTAGGCCTAACCCTCTTCTCCAAGAGCCCGCTTCGGCAAAGCGGCATTCACGCTAAAAATACAACGAAAAAATCGTTTTCCCACAGCATTCTAGTGTAGCGACTGGGCCTTTGAAGTCACGTGGTATGATCGGAGCCCTGTCGTTGGTTGCGAGCATTCCACCACACAGCCGGATGCGAGCGCTTTCTTCGTTCTCCTGCTTTCGCCGAGACATCGTCGAACACAACCGCCGGAGTTATTATTTCCGCGCCATGGATGCCTGCGAGAAATGCTACTTTCGATCACGGAAGTTCGTTACGCGGCACCAGTACGAGGGAAGGCACCCCAAACGCAAACAGTGAGCGCCGGCGAGAGGTCCGTCTGCTGCTAGGCCTAGCGTCGGCAGCAGCGACGCACCCGATTTGCATTGTTCGAGCTTTATTCCTACCGTCGATGACTTCATCAGCGCTTCAGAGTGAAAGATAAAAATGTTCGACGACTCAAGCAAGTGTCAGACGAACGCGGAAGCACATTTATTTGTGAGACCGATGCGATGCAGAACCTCGTCAGTGGCGTAGTATGCTCCAACTGCGGGCGGTGCGAGCTGTCTATTTGAGTAATGGCAAGTAGACGATAAGGACTGGCATCGCTTTCGGAACTTAGGCGCCGAAATGACGCATGTGCTGCAACTGTTGTTTCGTCCACGTATGCGTCAAGCCGCGTGTATCAGTCATGCAGTGGAAGCGAGGAGACGTCCGCCAGCAGCAGTGCACGGGACAGCTTCGCTGTGAGCGTGAAGTCGGTGGCCGCACCGCGTGCGATCGGCATCGGACACGAGCAGCTTGTGCGGGTTTTGTGCAATCATTGGTGTTAAAAAACCGGTGCGTCACAAGAACTGCCATTAGCAAAAGAAAAAAGTGCATACCGCCGCCGAAACCTCGAATGAGCCCAAGAGCAACGGCCCGTCGCCGCAGTAACGAAAAAAAAAAAAAAATGCTCGCCGGGAGGAGACAACTTGCAGAGGCTGTAAGGGTCCAATATATAGTGCTGGGTTATTCTGAAACTGTCAACTTTTTCAAGATAGCTTTGCTGACATTCTCTGTGAATTTCATTCAGATTGGTTGAAGAGTATAGTATTAAACATGTTTTTGAACTTTCAAACCGCTTTTTCTCAGTTCCTTATTTTTTGGCGTTTTCAGAGCTTGTGCACTATAATTTGTACGCTTTACGTAGTCGGATTGCAATGAAACTTGGCGTACTTAAAATTTAACATGTCCTGAATTCAAATAAACAACTTTCAAAGGTCTCCAAAGCATATTCAGCTGGATTATTTCAGAAGCTTGTTCCTTGAATATGGTAAAACTCAAATTCAGCATTAGAATTTTTTCCTAGGCCAGAACACAAATGTTACACAATGTTTCTTTGCATTATTGAATTCTGCAATTTATTAGGAGCACCATTGGCTATATTTTAGAGCTTTCTTGTGCTTACTATTGTTGCCTAAGCTTGCACAAGAATGCATTGTTTTTACAAATGCATGGTCTGCAAAAAATTAACTAAATGAGCCATGAAAAAAAGAAAAGCAGATTTGAAAAGAGGAGCTCCAACTCTATAACTGGTGAAAGTTTCATTGAGCTGTCACAAATATCTGAAGAAAAAGTTTTTCGAGGAGCATCTCCCCTTAAATGCAACTAAACTGCTTGTAGCATTTGACGAGAGAAAAGACGACCTCAGTGCGTACCTTAACCGATTTGAAACGATTGCCAGGAGCTGAAATTGGCTGGAGCATCGATGGCAACTGCTTTGAATACTTGTTTGAGTGGCGAAAAATTCAGTGTATTCGGTAGGCTGACACCAACCGATGCAGCTAACTATAGAAAAGTAAAATCTGCTTCACTGAAGCTATTCAGATCCACTGTGAAAGGCTTCCGAGACAGATTTCAGATGGAAAAACTAGCTCATGGTGAGACAGCTACCCAGTACGCCACCCGACTTAGCAATTATTTTGACAGATGGCTCGAACTTTCAGTGATAGCACAGGAGTACGGTGAGCATAGAGAACGATTTCTCATCAGTTGCCAACCGAGCCTGTAGCTGTACTTGAAAGAGAGGAAAGCTACGTAGCTTGAAGACATGCTTGAATTGGCCGATCAGTTCTTGGAAGCACAAGGTGGCATAAATTTGGCCAAAGTTAAGGAGCAGTTTCCCAAAGATTAGAACAAATCGATACTCGAATAAAAGAAGCATGCACCGCAGCATGTTACATGATGCTTTCTGTGCAACTGAGTGGGTCATTGTGCTAACACTTGTCGAATCAACTTTACGCGTCCCAGTGTAACGAAATGTTTTAAATGTGGTCGGACTGAGCACAAGACAGACGCATGTTGTAACGAAGAATAAAACCCACCAAGTATCCTGTGTGCAGGTGCCAACAGAAGATGATGATGACATCAGCGACAAATTTGAGGAGCTCAAAAGCGGGCAGAAA